GCCTTATCCAGGAGGCCCAGAGACCCCCGTCACCCTGACTCTGCCTCTCTACCTCCTTCAGGACCAACAAGCTACACCATCATAGCATCTCCAGTCTACTGTGTATATAGTATATAGCTATATACTATGTATTGCATATAGCAGAGGTCTTCAACAGGGGAGCGCGACCCCTAGGGGGTCCATGGAGGTACTGCATGCGGGTCGCGAAAGTTTAGATTGATTAGACTTTTTTCTATATTCCTCCCTGCATTTTATTCCACTAATTAAAATGTCTTTAAATCCACATTAACATGAATCCAACAGACTGTAGTAAACAGATAAATGGAGGCAGAAGATGTCTTTCAGTCATCAATGCTCACATTCAGAGACACACAGGAGCTCTTTCAAGCTGGACACCGTTTCATTCACAACACCAGGAATCAGAAATACTTTAATAATCCCAGGGAGGGATTACTTTAGTTACATTGCTCCATCTGTAATAGAGTGACTATAGTTTGATAGAACACTATTTCATAGAATATATATAATTAGGGGTCCCTGCTCCATCTCGTCATCAGTTCGGGGCCCTGGCATATAGCATATTGTATGTTTTTTAGTGTATATAGCCATAGACCCTGTATTCTATATATATCTAACCATCAACACCAAGTCAAAGTCCTTGTAATTGCAAACCTACCTGGCAATAAACTGATTGTGAAAACAGGTGCAGTGATGCTGTGTTCAATGACTCAGAGATGTTCAGCAGAACCTTTGGTTCCAGAAATCTGATTTTCCTTCATCTGTCTTTAACTGCACTCTAGAAGGTCATCTTCTATCTTCCTATCAGATAATCAGAGCGTTCATTTAGATGTTTGTTGAGAAAGGGGAGAAATGTGAAGCAGCAGATACTGAAATGATGACTTACTTTAGATCAGATCTTCCCCTGCAGAGCAGCGTCTATGATCTTCTCCTCTGAGGATCTGTCCTGATGTCCTCTGAAGGTCTGTTTGTCTCTAACTGTCTCACCGCCATTTAAAGCCTCTCATTCACTTCTAGCTGCTTCTCCAGCCTTCGTCCAATCAGAGCGCAGCAAAGAGCCACGTGCCATGATGTCATCGCTGGAACTTTAAACCAGCCTCTGGTCGTCCTGAAAAAATGTCAGAGTCAGAATTTATGAATTCAGAATATCTGAGTGAGCAGAAACTATGGAGCCAATTTTCTAACAAAAGTATCAACTTGTTGGTTTAATAAAGGGCAGAAATCTCCATGGAAACCGGAGCTTTGTTCAGGTAGTCAGCCAGTCAGTCAGTCAGTCAGTCAGTCAGTCAGTCAGTCAGTCAGTCAGTCAGCCAGTCAGTCAGTCAGTCAGTCAGTCAGTCAGTCAGTCAGCCGGGCTGCTCAGTGCCGCAGTGGGCAGCACTGCTGCCTTGCAGCAAGAAGGTTCTGGGTTTGATTCCTGGCCCGGGGTCTTTCATGGAGTTAGCTTGTTCTCCCTGAGCATTCATTGGTTCTCTCTGGGTACTCCAGCTTCCTCCCACAGTCTAAACATGACTGTTAGGTTAATTAGCTTCTCTACATTCTCCCCAGGTGTGAGTGTGTGACTATCTTACCTTACCGCATGATATGTGGTAGTTGCTGATCCTTGATCTTCAACTGTTAGGGGATTGATTGTCCTCCCAGTATGTGGAGTCTGGATTTGGTGGAACTACTTCCTGTGACTAACAGGCTGAAAGGCCATTGCCAGCAATGGAGGGCATATGGCGTGACAGGACAGGTAGGACGTCCACTGCATCCATTCCTGTCTCCAGTCTTCTTGCCACTGGATCCAGATGGTCTCTGATGAGAGGGTGAGGTCGACGTTGCGAAACTCTTCCTCACTTTAAAACAAAGTCATCCTTTCATCATTTGACCCCAACGTCCCGACCACGGGGTGGATGGATGGACCACGGGGTGGATGGATGGTCCTCGTCGTATCGATGGATGAACATGATCCTCATCAGCTCCTTTGGATCAATGCTATGATAAACATGTCTGGGTGTGAAAGGTTTTATTCAGGCTGGTGATTATGTTTTATATATTGATTATTTTTATGTGTTTTATGCATTATGAGCAATAAATGCTGAGAGTTCATTAGTTAATGATGATTCAACTTTTTCTCTGTCAGTTTTTAACCAAACTACTGAAGCTGCTCCTCTCCGCTGATATCTACCAAGCTACTGAAACGGCACCGGAAATACTACCGCTTTTTCTTCAAAATAAGATCAAACGATTTGCAGTGAAGTGCAGGTCGCTTTTATTTTGAAGGTCTAAACATGAAGTGTTTGATGCTGTTCAACTGCCTTCATAGATCATCATGTGAAGCTCCTAGAAGCTGCTGGAAAGCAGTGCTGTTGTTGTTTCCAGGAAGTCATGTGACCCATCCAGCAGCTGTTTCTGATTGACTGAATCACTAAACTGGGTTTAAAAACATTTCTGTCACCATGATGCATCTGTTAATAATGTCTCATCTTTTGCAGTTTATCATTAAAATTATCCAGAATGTTGGAGCCTAAAAGGAAAAGAAACATATTTATTTAATTTTCCTGTTGTTTCCTCTCAGTTCTTCACTGAACTTATCTGAATTAAAGTTAAGTTCTAATTAACTCTTTACTGTTTATTTTGTTTATTTACTGTTTTTACTGTACTTACTGTTTTAGAATTATGATTTAAAATCCTGGTCCAGCAGCATCGTTCACATTTTCCCCTAAATGTTCCCGTAATTAAACATGTTTATATTATTTTATTGGCTCAGGCTATCCTGAGCTATCTCTATAGTTCTGCTGCTATAGGCTTAGACTGCTGGAGGACATAGGGACCCCTTTTTCATCATTCTGCTTCATTCTATCTCTATTCTCCCACTCTGCAGAATCTGTTAGTTCCACTCCTAACGTTCTGCTCTCTCTGCTTTTTCTCATAGTAGCTTCATCTGGTCTGTTCCTGTTTGGCTGTGACTCCATCCTGGAGAGAAATATCAGCTGTGCTGCTGCCATCAACACCTTTGTTTCTAGATGTTGGAGCTTGGCCTGTTTTCCAGTGTAGTCCTGTTTCTCTGACTGTGACTAACTGGATGTGCTCTCTTCATCCTCTGACATGGGAGCTGGCTCGGAGCTCGTCTGCCTGGCTGTGTGTTTCCTGGACGGGGCCGCCTGTGGTTGACAGTTGCCTTTTGTGTCTATGCTTCTTTTTCATCTTGTTCAGAGGGAGTTTTTCCTCTCCACTGTCGCTACAAGCATGCTTAGTGTGAGGGATTGCTGAAGAGTCAATGAGTCGATGCAATCAGCTGGTTTTCCTTAGATAGAAAACTTTGAATCAATCTGACTGGATGGTCTGGATGATCTGGATCTAAAGTGACCTGAGATGCTATGATGTGAATTGAAGCTATAGAAATAAACTGAATAGAACTGATTCGTCCTCATTCTCTGGGTACAGACTGAACTGTCAAACCAGGTCAAACCATCATTCCCCTTCCAGGTTTCTAGAAACTCTGGATCTTGTTAACCTGGCCTCCAGTAATATTCGTCTCTAATTGATCTAAATCCTGGTTAATTGGTTTTCCTCTTATCTCTCCTTCACTGTTTCAAATCATATTTATTTCCTTGGAAATCAAAATGGGGCTAAAATGATTGTTTATCTTCGTCACTGAATCTAAATATTATTTTATTTCTTCTCCATCATCCTTCCTTCAAACTTCTTTCTTCTCTTTCATCTGAGCTGATTTCCTCCCTGTGTCCCCCCTCCCCCCGCCCCCGCCTAGAAGCTTCCATCGCTTGCTGGAATGTTCTGTTGCCTTGGAAACGTCCGCTTGAGATTCAGCTCCTGATTGGTCCGTTTGGCTGTCAGAATAAAGTTGCTGGGAGCAAAGCGGAAAACGAACAGATTGACTTTCAGAATAAAGCAAAAAGTTAATGCTGAATGACAAAAACAAAGACTCTGCTTCTGGTTTCAAGCATTTTATATATTAAGCAGCTAAATTAGTTTGTTTGCATAAATGGAGAACAGGTTTGTCATTTTCTGTTTTTAAGTAATAATTGTCTGAAAAGATTTTTAAGGTTTGTTTATTCTAATAGTTGCCTAATTTAAATGAAAATAGTTTCATTGTATCTAAATAGTAAGAAAGCAGAGAAACGTTTCCATTTCAGTAAGAAAGTCTTCTTTTTAAAATCTTCTTTTGTTTTAACAGGCAGGTCCTTCATATTGTGAAACATCTTCATCTACATTTATAGATCTATGGAGCAAAGCCAGTCATCATTATTATGAACAAACATATCTGCAATAATAACTACCTGGATGCAAAACTTAGGCTGCAGGATTCATTAATATTCTGAATACTCTCATCATCATCATCATCATCATCATCATCATCATCATCATCATCATCATCATCATCATCATCATCATCACATTTAACAATCATATAGAAATGTTTCTCTGACAGATTATGACCTGAATACAGAAAAGGTTTAATCTAACTAACTGATGTTTAGTACATAGACAAATCAAACTGTGTTACATGAATTAAACAATACAATAGGAGAGAAATCAAAGTAAATAAAGATTAAACATCAAAGCAGGTAGTTAATCAATTATAACAAAAGCTTCAAAACTCTGGGACACCTGCATGCATGTTGATGAAGAGAACTCCAGATCACAAGAACCGTGAAAACAGAAGGCTGTAGTGAATAATGATGGCATCTGGTGAAAAGGTTACACAGTAAAAAAAAATGGAAAAAGCTGCATTTTAACTCAATTAAAACATGGAGGAGGATTCATGTTGATAAAAAAAATGCTGGTTTCCAGAAGCATCTTCCTATTGATAATCTAATTGGTTTCAGAGTTCAAACATCCAGACTGCAGGTATTAATATAAACAGTTAAAAATGAAGCTCATAGATCCAAATAACTTAGAAAGACCCACAGGCTGCGATGTGGTTTAGGAAGGCTTTTATGTTGAAAGGCTGAACCATATCCGGTCCTTTCCGTCTGCTCTAGCTTGACGGTAGGAGGGCAGAGACAGTTCTGGAAGCAGCTACGGGGTTTCCCTCGGCTATAAAGCAGGGAACTGCCGCTGCTGCTTCAGTCACGCTGAGGACGGAACATCTGGACCCACCGGAACCGGCCAGAACCGCCTCCCGGGTCTCCGAACCGTGAGTAAAACCACTTCCTGTCTGTCTGGTGGATCAAACCTCTTCCTGTTTCTGCGTCTTCATGTTTGCAGGGAAAGATGAAGGTTTTATGCTGAAAACTTGTTTTGTTCGTTTCAGAAATGTACCCGTCCGTGAGGCAAACACTGAGGTTTCCATAGAAACAGAAGTAAAAGATGGAGTCAGCGCGTGGCTGGGTTTAGACTCTGCCTCGCGCTAAACTAAAGGATCCAGATTAAACCACAGCTGGGACCAGGAAACTAAGTTTGGTTTAAAAGTGAATAAAGTCAGATTTAAGCTTTGATGAACTATCAGGTTTAATTAGAAAAGATCTAAGGGAGTTATCGGCTCATTCGTTTAGACCAGTGTTTTTCAACCCTGGTCCTGAAGGCACAATGATCTGCATGTTCTAGATGTTTCCCAGCTTTCACACACCTGTTAGCAATTGATAGCAGATTATCAGGCTTTGCTGAAGCTCAGAAACATCCAGAACATGCAGAGCAGGAAGCCTTCAGGACCAGGAGGGAAAAACACAGGTTTAGACCTCTGATCTTCAACAAGAAGTGGCTGAGGCCGGTTTGAACCGGTTTAAACCTGCTCTGACTGTAAGGGTCTAGAAGGTTCTGGAGAGCAGGGGCGGGGCTAGTCAGCTCAGGGGTTCCCCCTAGTGGAGGTGGAGGGGATGGTTGGAATGTGAAACATTTTATTTCAGGCTGTGTCTTATGTAAATGAACCGGATTCTGTTTAAAATCATAAACTGTTGGACGTGTAACTCAACATTCCAGCTGTAATATTTCTGCAGCTTCAGTTGTACATTTTATCTGAATAAAAGTTGTTGGAGGAAAAAAATGTCTCAGTTAAAATCATTGAAGCGTCTCCGACCGGATGAGCAGGAACCAGGAAGGAACCTATCGCCATGGTTACTAGGAGCGGTTAGCTTAGCAGCAGCTCCCAGTGGATGGTAAGATGGTCTGTCTCTGACCCGCTGCATGGACGTTAATACTCAGACGCTTCATTGGACGCTGTCAGCAGAGAGGGTGACCTGCCGAGAGGGCGGCCATCTTGGGTCAGACAGCTGCAGTCAGAATGAAACTTGGATCTCATTTTAAACCCAAAAAGACGAGTCAGAGAAAATAATCTGACGTGTCAGAAACCTTTAAAAGACTAAAATACTTTTTTTTAAAATAACCTTTTTAGTTAAATTGCAGATTTATTTAGATTAAAATTATTTAAACTGAACTCAAACTGGATGAAATATAAAAAAACTTTGCAATTAAACATAAACGGTTTTATGTCGTTACATTAAAGTATTTTTAAGGATTGCTTTGAGTATTATGATCTATGAAGGAAACTGAGATGCAAAGAGTGAAGTTAATAATTTAACTGGAGCCCAGAGGTGCAGGCAGTGGGACTGAAACACTCTGGATTCATAGCTCTATGCTCTAACCAGCCCAGCTATTTTAGTAATGGAACTTTTGTAATCAACGCTTTATTAAATCATTAATGGTAAATATGTTTTATATCAAAGTATTTAATGCTAAATGATTTAATTAGTTAACATGCCTCATATTTAAACTCCAGAGGTGTCAAGTAACAAAGTACAAATACTTCATTACTGTACTTAAGTAATTTTTTTAGGTATCTATACTTTACTCCATTACTTATATTTCTTCCTACTTCTGACTTCTAATCATTACATTTTCACACCAGTATCTCTACTTTCTATTCCTTACATTTTTAAATCAATCGTTTCTCGTTACTCTTGGCTTCGGTTTAATGTTTCTAAATCTTTATTTCCCATCATGTGCTCCATCCAATGCAGATCATTGGCTCCGCCCACATCTAGTGAAAACTAGTGTGATTGGATGAGTCATAGAAGGCAAACACTCATTGGTTAGCTAAAGGAAATCATCAGAAGCAAGCAGGTGTTCTTCAAACCGCTAACGTAAATTGTCTATGCCATGCTACAATGTAGGATTCAGAAAAAGATCTTGAAATGTCTGAAAGGTCGGACACAGGCGAGAGCGTATCTGGAGACGGAGACCAACCAGACCTCCCTCATCCTTGGCCCTATCTCAGAGGATTTAGAGAAATAGTCCAAATATTGAGCTTTAATTCATATAGTGGCATCTGGCTGTTTTTTTAAAGGTTACTTTATACTTTTATACTTTAAGTAGTTTTTGGAGCGCATACTTTTTCACTTTTACTTGAGTAAAGAGGTCAAGTTGATCCTTCAACTTTTACCAGAGTGTTTTTAAACTGCAGGATCTAAACTTCTACTGAAGTAACAAATGTGTGAACTTTAGACATCGCTGCTAAAATCTCACCTGAAGAAGGAAGCTAATGTTTAGCCGGTGCACACAAATACAGCTTTAAATAAAAATATATATTCATAGTTGCATCTAAATATTTACAGTTTTTATATATTATATCTTCCTGAGACACAGGAAAAAACTAACTTCTTGTTTTTAATTTCTTTTTCAGGCCTAAAGTCCTAAAATTATTTTTGTTTCACATATATTTAAATTTTACAACTAGTCCACTGCAGCAAACTGGACGATTTAAATCGGAATTCAATAAAGACACGACTTTCCCTGATTTTACAATAATTTCAATAAAAAAAAAAGATTTGAATAAAACCAAATAATTGTTGATCTGTCATTTTTATATTTTAAAGGCAAAACTTCATAGATATGTTTAATTATAGCAGTAAACTATGAAAGTAATGAATCTAGCTTTCTGTTCTCTTTATAGATAATTTAATCTGTGATAATCCTGGAAACTTGTTTCCTTCTTAGTAAAGCAGATTATTTGGTATTAATCTACTGCAACAGGAAGTTATATTTCCAAATATGGAAATTAAAATATTCAGCTTTAATCAGAAATCATAGAATTTCCCAGAAATAAAACTAGTTAGTAAAAAGCTGAGCGGCTGAAACGGTTGATCAGATTAATGAAATAACAAATTTAGTAACTAACTGATAACTGTTCTATAGAGACTATAAATCAGGCCTTTAGCTGACGGAGCAGAAATTATAACAAAAGTGTAAAAATATAAACATTTTGAATTTAAGATCAAATTTGTTCTTTCAATCTGCTCTATAATCCAGAACCACTGAAGTGGAAAAGTTTTAGTTTCACCTGATTTCATTTTCCTTTGGCTGCTCGATTATAATCAATAAAATAATCACCAGATGAATCGATTTAAAGAAATAATCGTTATTTACAGCCCAACTTTTCAACCTCAACCTTTAATCAAAGACGTTGAAGTGGAATCCGACGTGTCTAATAATCCGTTTCTTTTTCAGTCAGTTTATCTAGATTCACCAGATCTAGAGCGTCTGAGGTCATACAGCAGGATTAGGATCTGAAAGCAGCTTGGTCTGACCTAAGATGGCCGCCCTGTCAGCGCGCGTCTCACCCGATGATGAGGGTCTATAGATCTCTATGGTCCAGAAGCTGATGCTCTGAGGTCTTCAGAGCCGCCCATCGCTTGTTCTCAGATCAATAGATCATTCCAGTAAACCTGGGGTCAAAGGTCACCAGGCTGCTGTGCTGCAGGTTCTGGTTCGGTTCTGCTGGGTTTTTAGCCCTTCCTTTTCTTTCTGTTTCTAATGTCAGTAAAAAAAAAACCCTGAACTGGTTGTTTTCTGCTGCTTCATAGAATAAAGAGATAAAAAATGATTCAAACATTCTGATTGGATCCAAAACGCCGACCTGTAGAAAAGAAAAGGATCAGTTTGGTTCCCAGATAGAAATGTTCAGACCAGAGAGACAAAGGAGCGGATGTCTGCAGCAGCCAGAGCACAGAAACGCAGCAATCAGAAGTTACTCTGTCGATAAATTAACCAAACATCCATGAGACGACGCTGACGCTCCACTGGACGCCATCCGGCTCAGCTAAGGTTAGTGGGACCTAGAAACGCGCTAATAGACGGTTACTTTGAGTCCATCCATGGCCCCGCCCCTTTGAACAGAACCAAACCATCAGCAAGCCCTGAAACAGTCGGTCAGCAGAAACCCTCTGAAGAAGCAGGTTGTTCCTAACAGGTCAGAAAGGATCCAGGTCAATGTTAGAGCCCCCCACCCCCCAATTACATGGTCAAACCAGTTGATCCAGATGTGTCATCTCTTGGTCTCATGAGCTTCACTGGTTCCCAGTTAGATGAAGCTGGTTCCTGAGGAAGGATCTGTTTCTGTTTTCTCTCTGATCTATTTCTTCTTCTGCTGTCTGTGTCTACATCAAAGCTTAAAGCCTATTTTGGAAAAATAATGTTTCTAGCTTTATTACATTTGTTTATTGGAGATTACCTCTAAAATGTCCAAAGGTGAATAAATCTAAATAATGATTGAAATGTGTTTAATGATGTTGAGCAGAGATAGATAGAAAAAGTTCCGAGGAGGGAACCCTGTGGGACTCCTGGTTCCTTTATTATCCTCAGAAAGAAGCAAAGTGGTTTAATATGATGATGAATCAGAAGAACGTCACAGAAAGATGCAGAAACCATTTAAATCCACAGACAGCTTTCCATATTTTACAGATAAAAACAGTAAAATGATGAATTTTCATTTCTGTAAAAACCTCGACTGCTTCTGAAAAAAATCCCAACATTTGAATCTTGTGGAAGTTTTAAACGAGGGTTAGGGTTAGGCTGAACTCTCTAGATGTTAGAGTCTCACAGTCATTCTTTTCTTTCCAGGGTAAAACATTTCAGAAATTCCTCAACAATTTGGTTAAAATTTTTTTATGGTCATTTTGTGAAAGTTTTTTTTTTTTTAAATGTTTAATAAAATGTGTATTAAATATGAAACATGATTAATTGATGAGATAAATGAGGTAAAGTGAGAAATGAAATGAATCAATCTTTGGGTGAAATCTGGAAGAGGCGAAGGTTGTTTTGATCATTTGTACGGTGGCCTTTGGTGTCCAAAAAGGTGCCTTTGAAATAAAATGTATTATTATTAAGGTTCAGAGCAGCTGCTGTTCTGCTATTTATGAAAAATTATGTTTAAATCAACAATAAAGTCAATCACAGGTAAATCTTTTCCTGTCTTCATTCTCTTTCAGTTCAAAAATGCTAAAAAAAAAGACGATACAGTGTTCTATTTATGTCAGGGTGCTAAGTTTCTGCTGGTTAAGGGTAGAAATAAAACACATTCTATTGGATTTAAAGCACAGAGGTTTATGATTAACAACTTGTTTGAAAGTTAAATGGAACCTCAAAGGTTTCAGGTTGTTCTTTCTCATTTTAAGATGAAGTCATGTGGTTATTCCTGCTAACCATAAAGATTCACTCAAATATTGAAGAGATATTGTTTTTTATGCTTTCAAAAAGAAGAAAACGCCCCAGAGCAACTTTTTTAGTTTTTTAATTTATATAAACTCTAAACCAAAAGTTGAGAAAGAAATGTTATTGCAAATTGAAATATGTTGAGATATTTGATAATTAACAACAATCAAGAAAAGTGGCTGTAAATGTAACCACTGTCTTACAGATATGTGGTATTTTGGTAAAATGACTCATTTAAGAGATAAATAACAACCTCATCTAAAAGGTTTCATTTAAATCTGGATTGTTTGACTGAATAAAGTGGTTATTTTAATAGTTTAATAAGTAGCCACTCTTAGTATTTTATTAACTGACTTCAGAGCTCTGGTTTTTAGATGTTTAAATAAAACAGGTTATGATCTGATCAGCTTTATGTTAACGGCTGGTTTTTGTAAAATGAGTTGATTTCTTTGATAACGAAGACGTTTGAAGGTTAACTTGGTTAAAATGTGGAGAAAATTCAATGAATCTAAGCATAAAGTGTCTAAAGCCACAGCTGCAGATTGAGAGTAATGTCTA